CTACATAAAATTCTTCGATGATGTCTTTTTTTTCTTTGAAAAATCTTGTTCAAAAGTTTTCCAATCATTTTTTTTTGGTAAAATTGAACTGAACAACACTTTTGGGCTGCCTCGTTGAGTGCGGTTTGTAATAATGCTGTACATCTATGGATCCAGTTATGATGAACAGGATTCTTTATAAGTTCTGGGCCTATATTCGTTTTTAGGTTTGCTATTGCGGCATTTTCTTCAGCATCTGTTCCTGTGAAAATCATTAGGGATTTGCCTAATATAACTGATGATCCACACCAAAGGTATGAATTGATCTTATTTTGTATTGATTCTACTGTATTTGATGTTTGGCAAAAAAGTTTGAGCTCTTTCTTACTGATTTCATATTTTTGTAAGTAAAAAAGTGATGGTACTTTGTTTTTCATTGCTACAAACTGATAGTCTTGGCTAATGACTGGGTTTTGTGTTGGAAAAAATCGGCTTGATAATGAGGAAAACAGTTTTTTTTGTTGAGTAATTTTTCGTTGTTCAGCGTTCTGTGAATGTAAAAATGGTTCGAAAAAATATGTTTGCACTGCAATATATTTTTGATATTTCTTTTGTTTGAGTCTGTTTCAGATATTTCTTTTAAACTTTGTTTACGATGCTGGCTTCTATTAGAAAAGATTTCAAGAAGATGACTGGTTTCAATCTCGCAGAAAATTTTTTGATTTTTTTGTCCGTATTATTTGTTTTGTTGATTATATGGTTAATTTTCAGGTTGGTATGTTTGAGTAATTTTTGTCGTGAAAACTGACTGATTATGTTTTTGTAGTTTTAATTGATGCTGATTACAGCCATAGTCTTTGAATTAGAGTTTTTTTGTTTCAACCATGTTTGTTAAGTAATTTTTGATAATGGAAATTGAAAAGAATCAATTTTGGTTTGAAAAATCTTTTCCTTTTTGGTTTTCTATTGAAAAATCATTTTTTATAGCTAGATATAAATGTGTATCATAATGTATCGATGAATTTAAACCAAAAATAGGTGTAGCTGTTGATTGTAATTACGATTGCTGAGGCTATCTTATTTTGTAGTTTTGTATTTGTGTGGTGTAGAAATGAGATACCCTGTTGTGTAGTTACTGGTATTGTTGTAACTATTTCTTCATTTGTAAAATGTGACGGAGTCTGAAAATTTTGTTGATTCAGCGTCGTTGTTCCATTTAGATTCTCTCTTGCAAGTGTTTTGATCATTATTTTTGCTATAAAAATGATTTGTTTTGTTGTTTCAGAGTCAAAATGGTCTGCTTTTTTGAACTTTGTGTGAGATATGTTGTCATTGGATTTTGGAGGAGCTGAGGCTTATGTATGATTGTAGTATCTGATTCTGTTGCGGTGTGTTTTCTCGAGAAAATGTTTTTATTTAGAATTGAAACTTAATTTTTTTTTGTGAGCGGTTATTCGACTTAATATAACCTATTACTTGTTTATGTGGTATAACTAGAAGATCGTACTGGGAATTTTTGAAGAGGCAATTGTTGATTACTGCGGATTGCTTGCTTTTTTCTATCTTTCATAGAGATATAAGTTTTAAGAGGAAAGATGATTGCTAAACCCGGGTGTTCGAATTTCTGAAAAAGTTAGTCCTTATTTATTTTCTGATTGTTATTCTAAGTTATCGGATCGTATGTTCGTCTTGACAAGACGGGTTGATTAAAAGAAAAATCAATTCTTTTGAATGATGTGTACTGCTCTGAAACTAGTTGCCTCCTCCGCTTTTGAGTTTTTTAATCTTACAAAAAAAGGGATCAACATGAGATCGAGGGATGGAGAATAGTAAATCATTCCACAAGGTAGAGATAAAACTAGAACGCAAGTAGATTTTTGAATAATGTTTTTGAGATTACTACTTTCAACGTTTGTTATAAGACTTTGTAGAACAAGAGGCAGGGATCAAGTGACGGATGTGTAACCGATGTTCTTCACTCTTTAGCTTAATTCAATTGGTGAATTTCGAAAGCAAAAACTGTCAGTTAGTCTTGGGTAACTTAAGCAGTTGGCAAGTGAATTGACATCTTTGGTTGTTACACACTTAATTAAAAGGAGGGTGTCAAAATAAAGTTATTAGATCAAAGGAAGTTCTGGATTATCTTGATTTTGAAAAGGATTAAGTTTAAGTTTTGTAACAGTAAAGATCCCAGGAGAGGCCTTGAGGATCTGGTTTTTTAAATAAAATTAAGGTCTCTCGAAATAAAAGATCCAAGGAGAAGCTTCGATTATCTTATAATTCAGTTAAAATAAGAGTTCATAAGGTCAAAGAATGAACGAGGAGAAGCCTTGCTAATCTTGTATTTTAGATTTAATTTCGAAAACAGAAAATTTATTTTAGGTAAAAAAAAAGATGAATTTTTCATTGAATTAAATTTTTTGGATGTTTTAGATGAACAAGTCGGCAGACAGGGGGTTTTCTTTGCATTGAACACTGATGTGCAATGGCAACTAATGGTCAAAATAAGTGTGTGTTGTTTAAAAAATATGCAGATTTAAAATTTTACAGTAAATGAGTTTCTAGTTATGGTGGATTTTTAGTTATGGTGGACTTTTATTCGGTTTTTAGTAATTTTTAGTTATGGTGGACTTTTATTCAATTTTGGTTATTCTATTGCCGTTAGGTTATTAATAAAATAACCAATTTAATAAAGCTTTGTAAAATAAATTTACGGCTCAAATAACAGTTAATATAGTAGTAATAGGATTTACTGCACGAATTGTTATTGGTTAATTGCTGCGGCTTCTGCTTGCTTACGCCTTGCTATGCCAATTTGGGATCCGTCGTTTTGTGATGGAGGTTCGTCTTGAGATTTGGCGTGGTTTTATTCGACTTATTAGGACGTGGAAATATTCTGATTTTTTTTTCTAATTTGTTTAATGGTTTCTAAAACTAAATAAGTAGGATGTCTGCTCTAGTTTCGTTGGTCGTACCAGATGAGTTTATGTCCCCGTGGCCTTCTCATAAAGTAATTCCGGATAGGGTCAACAGTCTATTCATCGCGCTATCTATTTTCGACAGGATAGGTTCGTGCAACTCCTTAATCTAGTATCTATTCTTTTTTGCAGATGATGTTAGGTTGATTTCAAAAAACTGCATATTCACGCAAGTGCTTTCATAAATACAAGAATGAACTCTGCGCCTGTTGGAACTTTTTTGGAATTTTTAAAAATAAAAAACAAACGACAAGACCTTCTACAGTGCTGATTTAAATTAACCGGACAAAACGCGTTAAACTTGAAATTTAAAACGCATTTTTCTCAAATTGGGTTGAGTTTAGGTGAAGACTTATGAAGACAAAACTTGCTTAAAATTTTAGCAAACTTTTTATGATGTAATTTGTTTTGCGAAATTCGGGTCTGAATTTTTACCCCAAAAATGGGTCATTTTGGCTTTTCTTAGTTAATCAAAAATTAAGCCGAAAAAACCCAGTCGATCACTGACATAATTATATCAAAGTGAGCCACTTACGTAGCCCAACAAACTTTAAGAAGTGTATTTTCTCCATAAAAAAAATGCAAATCGTTTAAAAATTGTTTTTAAATAAAAAGTTGGTTTTTTTATTTAGTAAAAATGACCTTTTTTGTCTATCAAACAAAAATAAAGTTTATGATACAATATTTTGGAGATTGTACCCTTTTCAAAGTTTGCTGGGATACGTAAGGAGCTCACTTTGATATAATTATGTCAGTGATCGACTGGGTTTTTTCGGCTTAATTTTTGATTAACTAAGAAAAGCCAAAATGACCCATTTTTGGGGTAAAATTTCAGACCCGAATTTCGCAAAACCAATTACACCATGTTAAATCTACTTACATTTTAAGCAAGTTTTGTCTTCATAAGTTATCACCCAAACTCAACCCAATTAGATAAAAATGCCTTTTAAGTTTCAAGTTTAACGCGTTTTGTCCGGTTAATTTAAATCAGCACTGTATAACTGAAAATGATTTTGGTAGTTAAACGTAAGCTTTGAGAAAAAATTCGAGTTTGATCTTGAGTTATGACAAAATGGTACTATTAGATTTGATGAAAAAACAACTTCTTCAATTAGCCCCTCAACTTTAGCATGCGAAAACTGTCTTGCCAAAAAATTGAAGAGACATTTTCTTTAATTGTGAATCTTTTATGATTTTTTTCCATTCTTTCTTAGTGACCGGAATATTTTGTGCTTTTTGCACTGTTATTGGGCGTTACCGACTACCTAGGTCAGTCACTTGGTGCACCGATTTTTTTTATTTCAAAATGAGTAAAAAAAAAGTTGAGCAGTTATTTTAAATTAATATAGTTTGAAGACCGTACAAACTATCAGTTTTTAAACAGCTTCTCTGTTAGGCAACTGCTCTCGCGAAGGAAAAAAAACGCATGCTTAGTTAATTTCTAGTTTCAATCAGCAGATGAAATGACCCACCATGGGATCTTTTCCACACCCATCTCAACAAAGTTAAGTTTCTTTTAGCATACTTCTTTTATAATTTGATGTTTTCTAAACGCTTCATAAAACATTTCAAAGCAAAGGTTATCTCCCATTTCTAAAAATATCATTTTTAATTTACATCACAAGTGGTTTTGAAAAAAGTTTAGTTACAAAGTTATTCGCTGATATTTGTCGGAATGCCAATGCCAATTCATAGAAAAAACTTTTTTATTCTTATAATTTAGTTGAATTTCTGATGTCAGGTCCTCAGTGGAAAAAAATTCTCAACTTTTTGCATGCGCTTTTCCACATATCAGCCTTATGTCAAGCATTCGGTTTGCTGCATTTTAATTCTCGGAGACTTTATGACTCCCATAATCTACGTTCGGTTATTTTCTATGTTTCTCCGGAGTTGCTTGATATAATTAGACCATGTGATTACACTATGATAAAGAAGTTTTAGGAGCAGTTTTAATACGTGATAGAAACAGGAGAGAGCTGGTTGTATAACTATGTTGCGATTTGAAACTTAATGAAATTTTCTTCAATAAACTTAAGTACTCACCCTTTCTGATTTTAGTTAGTTTTTGTATCGTTTTTTCGTCGGGAATTTCAGGTCTCCAAACCCTCGTATTCGTACTAACACTCTCCTTCGCATTCGTATTTGTATTAGCATTCGTATTCGCATCCGTTATCGTATTCGCATTGGCGTTGGTATTAGTATTCGTCGTATTCGCCGTCGTCTTCTTCTTCTTCTTATTCTTCTTCTTACTCGATGTCACTTTGGCAGTTTCGTCGGTCATCGCAGCCGCAGGAGTCACTGAAACGTCCATTGGCACATTCGCTGGCGCTATCATTGGCACTTTTGCTGGCGTGCTCACTGCCGCATTTACTGGTACATTTGGCGCTGGAGTTTGCTGCATCGTCGGGGGCGTTTTTGGTTGCTGCTGAGGTGTTAAGTTAACGTTTCTTGAAGTATTTGCCGGCATTTGAAAATGTTGCCTGCCTAATTGCTCCAAGTAGGTACTCGATGCTGCAAATGGTCCTGTTACTTCAGTTTGCACTGGCATTGCGTTCGGATATGAATTCTTTCTATAGGGTATCCAAGGTTGCTCTTGCTGCTGTTCGGGATCCAAGTATAATACGCGCTGATTCTTGGTCGTTTTGTATACCGGCTCTTGGGAATCGGATCGTTTTATTGATCTCGGTTGATTATTATCTCTCCTACTGTGACCTCCGTACTTTGGAATATTGGAAGAAATCCCATAGTTTGTCAAATCTGCTGGACGACCCGCTGCTTTTTGTGTCCTTAACTGCTGCTGGTTGTCATCATACCCTTGCATGTCTCCACTTTGATGAAAAAAATTGATGGCCGGCACTGGTTGGCTTTTTTTCGAGCCTGCAAACGTTGCTTCAAACCCATCTTGCATTGGGTGGGGATACGATCCTCTTCTTCTGGGGCCAGATGCTGAAACAGGAAGTGGAGGGTCGTATGGTTCTTGGGATGCAGATCGAACATGGGCTCCGAGCTGGGTTCGATGTCTAAATTGAGGTGTACTGAATGCATCATGCAGGGTTGATAGCGGTTGCATCTGAAGTCCTGTCGGTTGCTTCAGTTGCGATGTCGGATGCTGCACAAGTGGTTTCGGAGACTTCAACGGAGATGTCGCTTGCATCTGAAATCCTGTCGGTTGCTTCAGCGGTGATGTCGGATGCTGCACAGGTGCTGTTGGAGGCTTCAACGGAGATGTCGTTTGCATCTGAAGTCCTGTCGGTTGCTTCAGCGGTGATGTCGGATGCTGCACAGGTGGTGTCGGAGGCTTCAACGGAGATGTCGTTTGTATCTGAAGTCCTGTCGGTTGCTTCAGCGGTGATGTCGGATGCTGCACAGGTGGTGCTGGAGGCTTAAACGGAGATGTCGTTTGCATCTGAAGTCCGGTCGGTTGCTTCAGCGGTGATGTCGGATGCTGCACAGGTGGTGTTGGAGGCTTCAACGGAGATGTCGGTTGCATCTGAGTTTCTGTCGGTTGCTTCAACTGTGATGTCGGATGTTGCACATGTGGTATCGGAGACTTCAACGGAGAAGTCGTTTGAATCTGAGGTCCTGTCGGTTGCTTCAGCGGAGATGTCATCTGAATGAGAGGTGCTGACGGTTGCTTCAACGGAGATGTCGTTTGAATTAGAGGTGCTGACGTTTGAATCTGAGGTGCTGTCGGTTGCTTCAGTGGAGATGTCGTTTGAATCAGAGGTGCTGTCGTTTGAATCAGAGGTGCTGTCGGTTGCTTCGCTGGAAATGTCAGTTGCTTCTGCTGTGGTGTCGGATTTGCAGACGTTGCATGCAATCCTTGTATTGTATTCGAAGGTGACGCTCGTGGAGGCGAATCCTGCGATTTTGTTGGACTTAAAGTAGCTCCTAACATTTCGAAAGTATTCCTGGTTGCTCCTTTTGTTGGTTGTTCCTTCTTGCTCCCGGTAGACGTTACACGCTGACTTCCTCGACTGGGGTTCTGAGACGCTGATCGTGAGCCTCCACGCGATAGTGTTTGAGAAACTCCTCTTTGATTTTTTGCGTTGAACTTAGTTGAAGGCATCAATGAGTGGGGAGCTTGATTATAATGAGTACCAGATGAAATACGAGAGGAAGATGAAGATCCAATCGGCGCTGCAGGATGTTTCAGACCATAACGACCAATCCAACGATTTCTTTTTTCGTATGGTGCTGGATCTAAAAAAAATTTTTCTTATCATCCCTTGAACAATTTTTTAGTGAATTTTTAGCGAAACCCATTTTGTAACGCATAATCACACTTTTACTTTTTCGGTCGGAACAAACAGTAGCAAAACATTACAAATCGCAAAATTACTTTCCCTAATTTTTTGTTATTAGCTGGTTTTTCCGACTGCTGTATAAATTTTTTCGAATCTTATCGATCCTAAGAGTTCAAGTTTTCAAGTTTAAAGTTTAAAGCTAAAGCTTAAAGTTTAAAGTTTGGGGTAGGCGGGATTCAAACTTTTGTTGAAAAATTTTTCATTTTTTTTGAACGAGGGAAATGAAATTATGAGATATCCGAAATAACCTAACTATGGCCAAATATTCTGCGGCGCAGTCAATTTAATGAAAAAAAACGACTTAAAAAGAGTTTTTAGACCTTTTTAGGAAATTTTTAGCCAAGAAACTGTTTTTTCGGCGCGCTCTCCCCGCAAAAGTAGTATATTTCCGTGGTGCAGTTAGAAAAAACTTAAATGAATTCACCCAAAACTTCGGAGAGACAAAAAATTTAAGAAGATCAACCTGTCGGTCCATTTTGACGGAATTTGCATGCAATTTGGTTTTTCAGACAAACTTCTGCATGGTAAGGCAGCATTTACATGCAAAATTTGTCAAAAACAGATCAGTTGCTCTTTCCATTAATGTTGTGTGTTCAAAATTTTTGCAATTAATTTTCTAGTTAATTTCTTGCAAATTGTTGACAATACCTTTTGATGGTAAGTTGAATAACATAAAAGTACTCACTATAAAGACCATTTTAAGTAACTAATTACCTAAACTGCTATGAATTCTGGACCAAAGAAAACGTTCGAGGTCGCCGATAATGCCAACAACTTAGCATGAGTTATTGCTCGAACAAATTTTGCATTGGCATTTTTTTGTGCATTGAGAAAGAATAAATTGAGTTTCAATGTGACCTTGAGATAAATTATTTGTCTCATTAACTTTTCAATGCAAAATATAATTATTAGCAAAAAGTTCGGACAGACAAAAATAATTAAAAAGAGAAAATTCAAATATGCATGCAAAAATTGCTCAAAATTTGCAGATTGCTCTTTTTAATTATTTCTGTCTTTCCGAACTTTTTGCAACTCTCTCTAACCACTCCGGACAGAAACAATTGATTGAAAAAGCTATCTGCTAAATTTTCATTAACTTCGCATGCAAAATACAGTGCTGATTTAAATTATCCGGACAAAACGAACAAAACTTAAATTGTTAGACGCGTTTTTCTCAAATTGGGTTAAGATTAGACAAAAAGTGAAGAGAACATAAGTTGCTTACAATTTCACCATTATGGTGCCATTTTTTCTCCGAAATTCTCAACAAAAACTTTACCAAAAGTAAGTTATTTTGGATTTTTTCAATTAATCAAGAATTAGGCTGCAGCTACTCTGTTCATTGATGAGAAATATATATCACAAGAAGTTTCTTACACAGCCCAACAAAGTTCTAGAAGGGTTAAACCTCCGAAACCTGTATGAGAGAAATCAGTTTTGCTTGATAGTCAAGAAACGTGATTTTTAATACATAAAACCCAAAACCTTTAGTTAAAATCAATTTTTAAACATTTTACACAAATGTTTGGAGAATTAATCCTTCTAGAACTTTGTTGGGCTGTGTAAGAAGCTTCTTGGGATATATAATTTTAATCAATGAACAGTTGTTTCAGCGTAATTCTTGATTGTCTGAAAAAAGTCAAAATGACCCTTTTTTTTCTGGTAAAATTTTGGTTGGGAGTTTCAGAGAAAAAAAAATGCACCAAATTAGTTCTGAATTAGTTGAATTGAGAAAAACGTGATTGAAAATTCAATTTTTTTTTTCATTTTGTCCTGATATTTTAAATCAACACTGAATGGGCAGTCCGTTTTTTATGCAACAACAGTGCTGATTCAAGTTGTCCCGATAAAACGAATTAAAATTAAAATTCAAAACGTTACTTCTCATCAAATGGCGGAGTTAATTGTTGCGTGGGATTGTAGCTCATCTAATAGGTGCAATTTTTTTGCCAAATTGTTGCCCAATTTTAACCTTAAAAACGATCGCTTTGTTTTCTTTCAATTAAAATTTACGCCAAAACATTCCGTTGCAACGCTGAAAAAAGGTGATTATTTTTGTATCTGAAATTAGTTTGATATATGAAGCCTTGAGAAGGTATGACCTTCAATTTTTCAAGTGAATCAAAATCCAAATTCTAAATAGTCAATGAATGTTTTTTGGCTTTAAAACAAAAAATTGGTTTTTAAAAGCACAGAAAGAAAAAAATTTACCCTTTTACATGAGGGAATTACTGGCATAAGTTTTACCAGCAATTGAATTTATCAGCAAATGACTCGAAAAATACCAAAAAAATCATTTTGGGGTAAAATTTTGGGTCTAAGTTCTGCATATTATATTGCACCATAAAAGTTGTGCTAAAAATGGGGAAGATTTTATTTTCCCAACTATTTATCTGCAATCAATCCAACTAAAGAAGAAAGTATTTTTATTTTCATTTTTTGTCCGGATAGTGTATGTCGGCTTTTCAAATTTCGGCCAATTGCGCCCTTTCTAAAGTAATTCTCTCTGTTTTAATTTTACTGCTTCTTAAATAAAATGTTTAGTTTCATTTCAGTTGAGAGCATTATCAATTGTTGCTCCGACCATATGAAAAATGGGGATAAACTTTGTATTCGCATATGGTTTAGTTTTTTTTCGTTTTCCAAGCAAAATCCAGTACAACAATTATGTACGGTAATGGCGAGTCAACTGATAAATCTTGGCTCATTTCCAAATTCCCACGCCTCTCATAAAATTGCAAAACAAAGCGGTTCATAAATTGTTCACACGGCAAATTGCATGTTAGAAATTTTGTGAAAATTTAGTTTTAACTGAAAGAATTATTTTTGGAGAACTTCAGCGCCATTTGTGATTCAGCGCCAAATCATCAAGAAATCAAAAAGCTTGCTTTTTTTAACTTCGTTTTTGTTATTTTTTTTGTATTCTTATTTGTTTTTCTAAGAAAAGGTTGTCCAATATGCCTATTTAGCTATAACTGTCGAATGATGCTACGGTTCAATTTTTGGCTCATATCATCTTGTTGCACCAGGCAGAAAGTAAAAGTCATGAATATGATTTTTTATAGACCATGGTCTGAACATTCTGTGCTAGTTGCACAGTTGCCGGCTATCCTTGTTGTCATTAGATTTTGGTAGGTACTTAGTTAAGCGCAAAATCCGTGACCATAAGGTTTTAAGTAGAGATATCAGAAAATAAGGATTTTGTGGTTGCTGTGCAAGTAGCACTAAATTTTCCGTTCATATTTTAAAAATACACAAAATGATTTCTTTCATAAGTTTTTCAGATAAGTGTTGTTTTGGTTGTGCGTGGTGTGATGAAAAGATCTGAAAAAAAACTAAAACTTGAGTGTAACCGAAGGTCCGAAAATGCTGCTAAAAACTTTCGAATTAAAAACATTTACTAAAGTTTCATCGCTTATCCTTCTATAATAGACCTGCTCTTTTTTTACTCGCTCGAAATAGGATTTTAACTTAAAAATTTCAAACTGGTTCTTCTGGTTACTGGAAATTTTTTTTGAAAATTTATAATATTGTTCAAATCAAGATTGAAAGGGCTTAAGTATAGTTTTTTGTCGTAAGGTTTGGATTGAAAAACAAAATAGGCTTGCTCGCTCACCTTGTTGGCACAAAATTAGACCAAAAATCAAAATTTCAATCAAAATTTCAGGTCGAAATTTTAAAAAAATCCATTTCTTTGTCTTTTTCCTTCTAACATAATTCGACGGGTATAGCTTACAATTTTTGGCGGATAAATATGAAAAAAAATATATTGCTTGCAATTTTTGACGAATACAGAAAAAAAATGTTGCCTGACCTCAAAACAAAAATGCTTGTTAAATTAGGCCAATTTAAGATAAGTAATTTGTCCAGGCTTCCATTTTTTTTAACGGCACCTAGGCTTGGCAGCGAATTAATGCGAATCAGAAGTAATTGCAATTTGAGTTTTGGTGGCTAATTTATCCAAATATTACGTTATCAGACTCCAGTTTTATCATAATGAGCAAAGGAAAACAACGAGGCCCAGTTAAAATTGAAGAAACGTGTTCGAAGAAACGTAAAAATACAAACTTTTTATGTTAGGGAGATGTTTGCCACCGGATTCTTCATTTTAAATGAATATCGAAATAAAAAAACTAATCTTTTTTTTTGTAAAATGAAAATTTCCTCAGATCAGACTACTAGGTTTTTTCTACAAAGAACTAGGATGTGAACGCTTATGCAGAGTTTTTTTTGCACCACATTTTTTCAGTTAAACCGTTGTTCTAAAAGTGGCTGGGTAATTTATCGAAATCTTTATGGTTGGGCAGAATGGTTGAGTAACTTTATCGAAAAATTTATCGAAACCTCAAAAGTATCGAAACAACAACTTAAGAAATTGATAGACGTTCTTTTTTGAAAATTAGGGCGTAGCTGTTTCTGCAAAATACTTTCAAAATTGGTGCCTTCAATTGAAAACTTAATCTCAGATTATGTAAGTTACTTTTTCAGTGAAGTTAAAAAAATTTTTTAAACACGTCGAAAAAAATACATGTTAGTCATTTTTTTTCTACAACAAACAGATTTTGAAGGTTGTATCAGAGAGCATTTGTAGAAAAGAACGCGCCGCGCAAACGAGGTCTCATTTTCGATTCAAAAATTACACTTTTTGATGACAATTACTTCGAAAAAAAATTGAGTTCAGCCGTTTTTGGAGAGGAGCTCCCCAAAACTCGTTTTTTCTGGTTGAACTTAAAATCTTGGTTTGAGAAAAGATCAAAAATCTAAAAACATGGGTCCAACATTCCTTCCATAGACAATTTTGAATACTATAGAAAATGGGGTTTGCTAGCAGGAGACAAGGAGAATCAGCACGCACACAAGGAAGTAAGTATCTTTCTTTTCGTGAAAATCGATACAGTGGTTTCTGAGAGAAATAAGTCTTTTATTTAGAGAGAAATCAATAAATTTTCTAAAGAAAATCAGAAAATCATAATAATTAACATAAAACCAAAATCCCATACATTTTGATAAAACTTAATTAGATACACTCTGAACATAGAGAATCACAAAAAAAAGTTTTGATTGCAGATTGGTTTGAATACTATGGAAAATGGGGTATGCCAACAAGAGACAAGGAGAATCCGCTTACACACAAATAAGTAAGGATTTTTTTTGGTGAAAACCGATAGTGGTTTTTGAGAAGAACAAGTTTTTTCTAGAAAATTCATTATTTTTTACAAAGCGTCTCAGAAAATCAAAAAAAAACCAAATCACATTTTGACAAATCTTAATTGAAGACAATGTGAACATAATGAATCGCAAAACAAATTTCAATTGACGCTTATTTTGAAAATATCTGAATCTTTAAATAGCCTTTTTGCGCTCTAAAACCTAGAAAAGTTGAAAAAAAAGTACAAAGGTGATTTTTTCACTTTGCTTAATGCTGAGCCTGAGCTTCCCTGATAAAAAAACTAAACTAGCAAAAAAACTATTTTGTCAAAAAAAACACTACTTTTAAAACAAAGGCTTTTTTCCTGAAAAAATATTCATCCTCAAGGCTTCAAACAGTAAAAATAGCTTGGTGAACTGTATAAAATAGCAGCCAGTACACAGGCTGTGAAACAGACAGGTCATTCGCCATTTTTGTTTCATTTCTGCATGTAAAATTACTTGCCCTGCAAAAAGTCAGAAACTATACGAAATTGTATAAAAAATACTCTTGTTTGTCGAAACATCAAAAAACATTAAAATCGAACACTGTTGTTGGAAGTTTTATGGTTCTTAAATTGTTATCTATCGTGTTATTGCACCAAAAATTTGCACTTTGGTTAAGTTTCACTGATACTATATTGATTATTATTGTACTTACATACCAAATCAAGGGTCTTTTTCCTTGTTGAATATATTATCATATTCAGAGCAACTCAGGTTTTAAAGGTTGATTCAGAGAGGATTCTTTAGAGAGGAAAGTGTTGCAAACGCGTTCTTTGGATTGAACCCAGAAATTTGAATTTGTTAATGGCTATAATTAAGGATGTGAAGCACTTGGGCTCAGCTGTTTACGAAGAGTAGCTCCGGAATTGGATTTTCTGGCTCATCAAAAGCCCCGGAATTGGATTTTCTGGAATCAAAACAATTATTAAAAAAATCAAATCTTTGTGATGCATTTTAATTGAATACAACTAGAAAAAAATTAATCACAAAGTTTTTTTTTTATTGTCGTTTATTTAGCAAAATCTGGATCATGAAATAGTTTTTCTGCGCTCTAAAACCTAGAAAATGAATTCTATTTGAAACAAAAGTTCAAAGGTGGTTTTTATGCTGAGCCTGAACTTACCTGTTAAAAAAATTAACCGAGCAAAAAAAAACTCCTCCTTTCCTTTTATATCTGAGACTTTTTTCTTGAAAGAAAAATAAGTCTACATGACGGCAAACAGTAAAAAAAGCTTGGTGATTCATATAAAATAGCACTCACTATACAGCAATCACTTTTTCTTTTCGTTTCTGCATGTAAAATTCTTTGCCAAGCAAAAAATCAAAAACTCTACCAATTTGTAGAAATTACTATGGTTCGTCGAAACATAAAAAATTATCAAAATTAACACAGACAAGGAATTACGGCTTTTTTGTTTCGTGAAAACTGATGCATTGGTTTCTGAGAACAACAAGTTTATTTTGTAAGAGAAATCAAAACCTGTTCCAAAGTGTCTCAGAAAATCAAAATAAATTATACAAAAACAAATCACGTTCTTTTTGACGAGCTTTAGTTGAATATAACATGAAAACAATGAATCACAATTTTTTTTTGATTGACGCTCGTTTTGCAAGTTTTGGATCATTAAATAGTGTTTTGCTCTCCAAAACCTAAAAAACGAAAAGTACTTGAAATAAAAGTTTAAAGGTGAAATTAAACCTTTTTGCAATTTGCTTAATACTGAGCCTGAACTTAATACTTCCTGTTAAAAAAACTAAACTAGCAAAAAAAAAGATTTTCTTAAACATAAAACTTCTTTTATATCAGAGGCTTTTTTCCTGAAAGAAATTTTTATCCACATGACATTAAACAGTGAAAATAGCTTCGTGAATTATGTAAAACAGCGAACAGTATATTGGCCGGGAAGCATAGACAGGTCATTTAATAATCAATTTTTCATTTCATTTATGCTTAGCATATTACTTGTCATGCAAATCGTCAGACTTGTAGAAAAATCTGTTGTTCATTAAAACATCAAAAAACATCAAAATCAAATACTGATGGTGAAAGTTTTATAGATTTCATTTTGTTGTTGTAATATTGTATCTCAAAACTTCGCTTTTGATTTAGTTTCCTTGTAACAAAATTGATTATTAGTGTACTTACCTACCAATTCATGGGTAATTTTTCTTTCTTGAAACTATAATCATCTTCAGAGCAACCTGTTTTTGTGAAAATTTTATTCTCCACGAAACGCATGCCGACTTACACATCTACTGGCGCATTTTAAATTAAGCGGTTATAAACGGGCTTATTTTGACAGACTAGCCCGTTAATAGTTTCAATAGTTTCTGTAGTTTCTGCACAAATCACAGAAAACACAATTATTGTGATTGGTATTGTTATTTTGTACATATGATAATTTCAGTTTGAAAGTGTTAACGAAGTGCCATAGCTGAGTATTTTACTTTTCCCCACCTGATAGCTTTTACAAGTCATTTTTGTGCGCTTTTCCGGATTACTACAAAAATCGGCATGTGGACTAATTAGGCTATGGCAAACATATTTGGTCTTCATACTTAAACTTGAACTCCTCGTTATACTATGAAGGTGATACATATGTAAGATAGGGGTAAACGAAAAAAGAGCCCATTTACATAAAAAGCTTATAATTGAATAAAATGAAAAGTTTCAAAATCGATTTGAAGAACTAGAAGAAAAAAAACTCACTTGTGGGTTTGTTTGGATCCGAGGGGACATATTTATCCACTGCAATTTTCGGAGAAATGACTGCTGCTGCCTGAGGAACATTAGGAACATTAGCAGGAGCAGCAATTGAGGCATAGGTTCTTGGGGATTCGACGTTGGAGTTCTGAGATTGACCTGCAAGTTTGGGCGGATCTGCACGTTCGGTAGGTGCCTGCTTGGAGGATGGTCCAGGACTGGGACTTCGAATCGTAATCGCTTTCCGAGGCGCAGCATTCTTTCCGGGAGTAGCCACAGATAGCGGCAAAGATAAGGGTTGGGATCCTGTGCTTTGAAGACCAGCCTCATTTCCAGGTAGAGCATCATCTTTGGGGTTCTGAGTATTTGGAGACAAGCCTGCTTGATTATATGAAGTAGAGAAGTCCCGCTGATTTATATTGGGAGCAGCGTTAGGGTAATGAGATGGGTCGGAATATGCGGGGTAACCATTGTAGAACTGTGGATTGACTGTAACAGCGTTAGATGATTGAGAAGGATCGGAATATTCAGGATAAGTATTGTAGAACTGTGGATTGGCTGGAACAGCGTTAGATGATTGAGAAGGATCGGAATATTCAGGATAAGTATTGTAGAACTGTGGATTGTCTGGAACAGCGTTAGGGTAATGAGACGGGTCGGAATATTCGGGATAAGTATTGTAGAACTGTGGATTGGCTGGAACAGCATGGGGGGATTGAGAAGGATCGGAAAATTCAGGATAAGTATTGTAGAACTGTGGATTGTCTAGAACAGCGTTAGGGTACTCAGGAGGATTGGACCAATTAGAGGAAGCATTGAAGAATTGAGGATTGACTAGATTAGCGTTAGGGTCCTGAGGAAAGTTAGACGATTCAGGGTTCTGAGAAGGATCGTTCAGTCCAGGTGCAGCATTGTTGATCTGAGTATCGCGTTCTTCAACAAAAGGGTTCTGCGTGGACCGAATTTTTTTTGAACGAACAAGCTGGTCGACTGGCTTCAAACTGGGCTGGGCATCGATTCCTATTCGCCCCTGAATTGTGCCCACATTGAGATGTTGAGCTGCAGTGGTATCTCTTTGTATGTGGTCTTCCGGATCTCCGGGTGGTATATTTTGAGGTCCTTGTACACTAATCCCTGTGAACTCATTGTTTGGCATTCCTGATGATGCTACTCTTGTTAAAGTGGCGCCCGCTGAGTCTGTTACAGGCGTCTGTCCAAGGTTTCGTCCAGCCTTAAGAATATTTGCCAGTGAAACATAATCAAAGTTAGGATCGTAACGACCCGGTCGGGAAATAAAACCGAATGGCGTTTTGTCGAAGGTAGCCTTGCTGCGATTTCGGGAACCAGTTTTTTGTGTTTGATACTGTGGGTTCTGATGCAATGCTTGGTTTACAGCTGGGGTCCCAAGAGGTACTACTGCTTTGCCTAACCCTCTTCTTGATGTGGTCAGACTGGGAGAACTTGAATTTCCAGGAGCTGCAGAATGCTGCTGATGCACGGAACTGGTATCAGGGCTTAGAAAACCAGATACGTTTCCTTGCGAAGCAGCACTTCCAGGAGAAGCTACAGAATGATGATGTACGGACGGGGAGCTAGGGCTTTGGAATCCAGATATGTTTCCATAGGAAGCAGCACTTCCAGGAGAAGCAACAGAATGATGATGTGCGGACGGGGAACTAGGGCTTTGGAATCCAAATACATTTCCTTGCGAAGCAGCACTTCCAGGAGAAGCTATGGAATCATGATGTATGGACGGTGGACTAGGGCTTTGTAATCCAGACACGCTTCCTTGCGAATCAATACTTCCAAGAGAAGATACAGAATGATGATGTACGGACGTTCGAAGAGGGCTTTGAAGTCCTGACGCATTTCCAGGCGCATTAATATTATCGAAATGTCCTATGGGACTCTGACTCACTGCATCGTTGTGGCCTTGTAAGTCTGTTGCAAGACCAATAGCGCTCTGAGGCCGGCCATAATTGAAGCGGCCAAGCTGTTCTTGGTTAATATGACCTGGTGATTGAGTCAATAGTTGCAACGGCTGGGGTATTAAAACATTGGCATTTGCGTTTGCCTCTGATCCTGCTCCTAGAACAAAAAGTATTTCGTAAAAACTTCATATGAGCGTGAATTGAATGCGTTATAACTGGTTCAAAATTTTGTACTCGTTGATAACTTTCTTTTGAGCCTACTTTTTTTGTTTTTTTGTCCGAAAATTTTTGAAACTTTTTTTCTGAACGACTTTGAAAGTAAACAAGTGTTATTAAACAAAAAAATATTTCAGTACATCAAAATTGGAGAAAATTTAGTTTAATCTTCTTTATTGGAGTGCTGTATGAAGTTTGTATGGAAAGATGCGGTTCTAGGTGCCTCTTGAGGTGGGGAGAGGTGCGCTTTTTCAAAGAAAAATTAGAAGCTATGTCGAATTTTTGAAACCAGTTCAAAAAGTTTTCATAAAAACTATTTACATTCTTGATAACTATCGCTGCGAAATACTTAAAAATAACCAATCAACATCCATGACAAAAACTTAAAATAATTTGTTGGTGTGAAGCTATTTAAAGTTTTAGCCAGAGAAAAATAAATTCAACTTAGAGAGCAATGCTCTTCCTCTCCTCCAATCTTGCCAGAATAGTAAAAACACCAGTTACACTAGATTTATTGAGACTCATAGAAATAATAGTAAGAACAGGATTGGTATAAGGTAAAGAAGTTGAACGAATCTATTTGGTCGAACGAATCTATCTGGTCGAAAGGTGTACCGTATCCAAAATCACTCCATGAGAGAACCGAGCCGGTTTTGAACTCATCTGGTGCGACCAAATGAATCTCGAGCAGACTCATAATTGCTTATATTTAAAAAAAAACAGACATAGAACAGAAAAATAAGATTAGGAAAAGGCAACACATTGATAAATCAAATTGAAAATAATAGTAGCTTATTTCCACGTCTCAATAAGTCTAATCAAACCAACTGAGACCAGGTCACAACCAGGACGACAGACGAAACCT